AGGAAGCTTTTAGTAAACGTATGTTGAAAGTTGCATAGGTACGTACCCCTCTTCCATCGCTGTTTTAGATTTTTAACCTTTTGCATGAAATAACATGAGCTGAGATAAAATATTATTTACCTAACTTCTGTCTCTTTTGACTCTACAGGAATATTTTAAATTTTATATATATAAGGAAATTTATATATATATAAAAAAAAAAAAAAAAAAAAAGAGAAAGGCGTGAGAAAACTGAAATTTTACAAGTTAATAAATGCTGTAATAATTTAAAAAATTAAATTAGCATTTTTATAAATTATATTTTAGTAACAGCGGGAATTTTAAAAAATAATAGTTTAAAAAATTTTTTAATCTTCCTATCTGAAAACTGTAAATTACGATCTGACACACAGAAGAAAAGTTTAACATTAAAATTTCTATAAAAAAAATCATACAAGTATTTCACTGCATTTAAAAAAAAAAAAAAAAAAAAAAAAAAAAAAAAAAAAAAAAACTGAAATATGTTTCCTACTAACTCACAAAACCTTATGCTGAAAGACATTAGAACTCAACTCGGGGGGGGGGGGGAAGGAAGTCAACTTTAAAAACTGCTCTATTTGTTTCTTCATTTCTATTTCGCATGTAGTATAAAGTGACCACACGTCCCGATTTTGGCGAGACGCTTGTTGGAGGTCTGTTCCGCATCCCGCCGATTTTTAAAAATGTCCCGCTTTTTAGAAAACATCTGCATTTCTTATTTTAAATGTACTGTAAAAATATATTACCTATTATTTATTAATTACTATAGTGAATATAAAGAAGTAAAAAAAAACATAAAATGCATGCAGAGTAAACTAAATTAGGTAATGTAATGAATTATATTTAGTCAGTGGTGTTCGATCATTCTCGTTACGTCTCGTCAAGGAATATGTATTGTTAACGAGGGAACAGCTAGCATTAGCCGAAGGGCTATTTGTTTCCACACCATAAACCACAATAAAAGTTTCAGATCAATTGCTTGTACGTCGCAAATGATCAAGACATTGTACGACAAAAAATTTGCACGTGCAAGGACAAAAACCGAAGCAATTATTTGTAATGTTTTTAACCATATTCGTTTTCACAATTGCAGAAAGAATTAGATGAATGCACATTTATGTCCATATATTATGATGCTTCCAACCACAAAGATTTAAAATTATTTCCCACAATTGTTAGACTTTTTAATCCAGAAACAGGAATTAAAATTAGAATATTAGATTTTGTTTCATTGACGGGTGAAACTTTTTTTTTCCTGATGGCAGATTGTGAACTGTTACAGTTTCGTAACAGAGTCCATTAATCTATACTAAAGCCAGACATGGTGCTTTCTTCATTAGGAAGGCACCTAATACGTGGGCCACCATTGCCTCCTATGAAGGGACGGACAGTTACAACCATGCCTTCTCCGGGATTCGAACCCAGGCACTTCGGTATCGCAGTCAGGCTCCCTTAACCACTATACTGTTTGGACGGCTGCCGGGTGAAACTTCATAAATAATTTTTGATTCAATAAGTACTATTTAAAAAAAGAATAATTTGAACAATAAAATTATTGCCTATTGTGAGCCATTATCGCCACACAATAGGCAATAATTTTATTGTTGACACTAACACAAATTTTGGTGAAAAAGCTAGAAGAGGCATCTATAACGTTTTTACGAGACTTAATTAACGTTTGAATAAAAAAATTATTCGAGTAGGTTGTGCAACGCACATTCTACACAATACTATTCAAAAGCATTTGACTTAACTTCCAGTGGATGTTGAAAATACTGTGCGTGTCGAGAGTTTGAAGGATTTTTGTGAAAACGCAGAAATCGAATATAAAAGAATTATTTGGTTACAGCAAAACACGATGGCTAGCTCTTTTACCAGCTGTAGAAAATATTTTTAAAATATACGAACCATTAAAATCATACTTTTTATCACAAGATAAATATCGAAGAATATTGCTGCTGTTTTTTGAAAATGACATATTACAAATTTGTCTTCAGTTCAATTCACAACCAAGCTACATTATTTCATAATGCTGTGAAAATTATTGAAGGAAGACCCACCTCATTTGAGACTGAATTACAGTCTCAAATGAGGTGTGAGAAATAAAAAAGTGCTGCGCAGTGATGAAGAAACATGTTAAAGTAAAATTATATTGTGGATCGGGGTCGTTAAGACCTTGAAGCGCTTATTTTGAAATACACATTAAAGCATTTCTAGCTTATTTTAAGATAATTACAGCATTTCTTTCAATCGCATATTTTAAAATACAGATTAAAGCATTTCTTTCGGCAAGGCTCGGTTTTGTTCACATATTTCTGTTATTTTTAGTTAGTTATTTGTTTAAAACTTCATCTTTACATATTCTTTACTTTGTTTAATTAGATAAAATATTTTCAAAACTTGATAAAAATATTGATAGCGGAATAAGCTGGAAACATTGGGACTTCAAAAAATCACTAAAAGGCGAATATTAATAATCGACTAGAAGCAGTCGATTATTAATATTCTAATATAATAATGGTATGTTAGACCTCCTAAAATTTATGATATTAAAAAGCAGAAAGGTAAACTTAAAAATTACTATCTGTATTTTTCAGTTCTAAGAAATGATAAATATTCATGCTTTGTAGAGTATTATTTTCCCAAGACAGGCTTTTATGACACAGTTAGCCATTCGTATTTTACTTAAACAGACTTCATACTTTACCAATTATGAAGACTTTGAAATAAAAACTGATTAAATATAGCTCGATTTCATGTAAAAATTGATTAAATATAAGTAAATTTCAAATAAAAATTAAAGGTAAATTACGATTAAAAAATGTTAATAAAAATTTCTTTTTAAATATATGTACAGAATTGCTGTATGAAATTTGCTTCATTATTCAGGACATTAAAAAAATCGTTTCTCCGAATTGGACGATTTTAGTACGATATTCCGGCAAGTTTGGTTTATTGGCAAAGCAGGCGAGGGCTACCTGCCTACGGGGAGGGATGCCTTCAAGGAGCTTTCTAAGGGAAACTGGCTCGTATACACGTTTCACATAGGGAAAAACCACAAAAAGCTCGTTCTCCAGGATTCGAGTCCTTTACCGAATTACCACTGTTCAGCGACTTTTACCGTTAGGCACGTTTTGAGACGGATTACTATTAATATTAGCTTTAGTTTTTATTACTACCTCACAGAGAGTTTTATAATTTGATATCAAACCAATAGCTTTTTTCATTAATTCTTTTGAAAACCTCCAAAATGTTACTATAAACTTACAGAATAAAAGTAATCATGAAATGTAATTATTAATTCTGATGTTATAAAAATGAAATTATTCTTAATTCTGAAATAACTATTCCAACTTGCTTTTGCAAAATTAAAAAATTAACTAAGATATTGAGTAACTTTATACCTAATCTGTGACAGCAGAACTTAACAATATTACACAAACATAAATAAATCATTACATAAAAGGGTACCATAAAGGATTTTCAACGTAATGATCAGAATCTTATGATTAGTAATAACTCGGAAAATGTTACTCTTGATATAACTGTATCCTCTTCCGCAATAAAAAAGCATCACCGAAAACATTTCCGCAGAGAACACACTGAAAATAAATATCGCCAAAACAGCAATAAAGCTGCTAATTTTGGCAATCTCACGAACGCATTTTCCGCGTGCTGTAACCCACTCCATCAACTATCCACGTTCTTAATTTATTACACTTTATTCTGTCATGTTTATTATTTCGCTACATTTCGACACTGACTTTTATTTAGAACTTAGTCATCATTTTCATTTCCGTTTCGTCCAATGGATACTACATGCCCTTAAATTACAAAATATTCAGCAGTATTCTAGGTTTCTACATGTACACAGTATATATCAAATTGAACGCAGCTTTTAAACGCCAAATTGTTGGAAACAGAGAGAAAAAGAATTTAGCTTACAATTTACTTAAAATTTCTTCCCTCATAAAATGAAACATTTCAGCAATTAATTCTAAATGTTATCAAAGGCAGTTATTTCATTATATAATTTTATCTCTGACAATTTGCAATTAATACCTTTTTTTTTATATTTTAAAAACCTGCCCGTCTCAGAGTCAAATCAAATGCAAAGCAAAACTATTTCCTGGGAAAAAAATATATACGATTTAAATTATTAAAAATCACTACATTATATATGCTTTAAATAACAGATTAATGCTTTAAAAAACTCTATAATATTTCAGAGGCTAAATTCTAAATTCCAAAGCGTGTGTTAAGTTTCGCACAGCATCACAACAAAAAATTATATCAGTAAAGTATTTGATGAAGTTTTGAAGAATGCAACATTAAAATTCCTTTATATTATATTCAAAATTAAATTTTTTTTTTTCCTTTTTAAATTTCAAACCATACTTCGGAATTTCAGATTCTCCTACGTTAACACTGCCGAACTAGTCCTTGGCAAGCAAAAACTGAAATGTCGCCAAGGGGTTCTCCGAGGAAGTAAAATCCAATATGATCTCCCGAAATTCCGTTAATTTCCAAGATACTCTTCTGTTATCGGGACTGGATTCGTATTTTTCTGTAAACGCGTACATAAATTTTTGAATCCTCTCGTGATAACAGAAGAGTACCATTTTCAACTATAATTTTAGAATAATATTATTATTAAATACTTCAATGATAGAAACAAAGCAATTTAAGATATTTCACCGGATAACAAAAAGTACTACTATTGTAGCAACTGGGGGGGGGGGAATTTCTTAACTTTTACTTACATGAAATAAATATAAGTAGAATGCTATTTCTTTTCGAATGGAATAACTGTAAAATGAATCCTTTAACTTAAAAACAAAATTACAGCAGTAAACGTCTGTCAAACATGTGTTTTCACTTAAAATCAAGAGTAAAGAAATATAAAATGCACAGCTTAATAATGAAAAGCAGCATTATAAAATAATTCATAAAAGTAAAATAATTGTGCTAATTGTTAAAATTTCACATTTTATTGAAAATCAAGCTAACTTATTTTCTATAATATGACATTACTACATTCTTAGATAGTTCGAAACTTATGTTCTACATACAGAACTAATGCAACATTTACATGAACTTTCGGAATTTTAATAAACAACTTATTAATCAAGCACTTTAATATTTTGATCATTTGTACATACTAATGTTTGTTATTAATATATACGAGTTACTAATTCTTAAAAATACTAACTTAACGAAATATTTGAACATTGGATATTACTGCTTACATACTGAGAAGGGAAAAAAATTCTAGCTACAGTCAGAAATATTTGGATATATCATCAAGCATTACCTTCTTTACGACTACTCTTTGCCCAAGGTGTGCAAGAATATCTTAAAACAGATTTCTGTCTTTCATTGCTATCAAAAGAAGTTCTTTCACAACGGTTTGTCTTTTCTCTAGATGCCGATCTTTGGGACTGATCTACAGATTCAAGGTTTTGTCTTCGCCACTCAAGTTTGTCTTGATTTTTAACTCGTTCTTCGCATATGGGAAACGTATTATTTTTCTTTTCTATAGGTGCTCTGAAAGATGAAAATTGGATCTGCTGAGTTTTATCATCGTATCTCAAATTTCTCTGCTGAACATCTTCACTACGGTCTTTAGTCAATACATTTTTTGCTTTCTCAAGTTTAAATATTCGTGGACGAAGATAGTTATAAACGCGCGGTCTTACATTGTCATCACTTAACATTTCAAAACGTTTTAGCACGTATAATGATTGAGTATTTTGCTCTTTTGATGTCTCATTGTGAAATTTTGATTTAAATCTTATATCCCGAATACTGCTTGTTTCTTCGGTACTAGTTTGAGGCTTTTCTCTTTCACTAGAGATCTTCTTCAGTTCTTCACTTTCTTTAGAAATATAATAATTTTTTGCATGGTTTAATACATATTCTTCCTGGCCACTCTGTTTACTTCTAAGCTCAGCTTGTAATCCACTCTCAGCCGTCTTTAATTTATTTTTGTTATCTAGAAAGACTGCTTGGTCACTGGTATTAATTGCGACTTTGCTTTGCTTGTATTTTTTTTGCTTCAATATCCGCGATTGATTTTCTACCCAAGCAATTCGTCTCTGCACTTTCCTACTAAGAGCTCTTTGCTCCATTCGCTTCTGTTTTTCTGAATTCAGGATCACCAAGAAATCTTCCATACATTTCTTATAATCATCTCTGTGCCTTTTCTGAACCTTCAGAATAAAATCATCTAAATCCTTCTTTACTTTCAGAATTTTTTCTCTTTTTTTAACATCGCGCTCTCGTTCTTTGTGGGCAGTTTCAATTCTGGTTCTCTCATCTTGTTCCCATACCTCACGGCAAGTGATCTTCTCTTCTTCATATTCTAAAATAAGTAATGGTAGTTCTTCCATTCGCTTAGCTCTTTCTATATAATCTACAGTCTTTTCTTGCCTCCGTAAACGAGATAAAAATTCTTTTCTTTCCCGAGTGAAAAGTTCAATTTGTTTGGACAACCAAACTTCTGGATCCAGGGTATCAAGGTTACTAAAATCGAGATTCTCAATTAACTGACATCCTATTTGGGTTTGTTTCAGTACTTCCATTTTTTCAAGGAAGATCTTCCGTTTTATTTCTTCTTTTTGGAGAAGAAGTCTTTGCACGTTTCTTTCTTCGGCTTCTTTCAAGAGCCGTTCTTTTTCCGCTGCTATATACTTCAGCTGTGTCTGAACGTGATGTTTCCTCTCTTCCTCTTCTTTTCTTATTCTCAAATTTTCAATTGCTTCTTTGTGTTTTTCAATAAGTTTCTTGCGCTGTAAGGTTTTCTTATGATCCGTATCCCGCGTTATAATATAATTGTTAACTATTTTTGAACGTATTTTCTGGCTTTTAATTTTTATATCTTGTGATGAAAGGCATTTATTTATTTGAATCAGAGAAGAATGGATAATAGCCAAATGATTTAGATTTCCGTCGTAGAAAAGTTTATGAGTTTCATTGCATTCGAGATTTTGTTTATTTCGAAAAATACTCATGTTATTATAAAAGTGCAAGCACTTACTATTATGATCAATTTTTAAAGAAAAATTATACCTTCTTGCAGAATCCACAATTAATCTCTCAAAATAATATTCATCAACAGCTGGAAGCAAAGATAATAACTTCGTAAATGTTATACACTTGTATACTTTGGATAAATCTGATATAAGTTTAATTATTGCAAAATCACGAACTGGAAGCATGTATTGCTTTAAATTATGGAAACAGATATCATTATCAATAAGACTACTAGTTTGTTCAATAAGTGATGGAAGTGATAAAGGTAAAAAATTAAATTCGAAAGTATAAAATAATTTTTGTACAATTGCGGGCGTATAGTGTATAATGCCATGGCGTTCCAAATCTTTTATTAATAAACTTCGAGTTGGGCGGCAAGGCAAATCCAGCAGGGTTGCTAACAATCGCTGCTTTTTATGGATCACAGAGTCATCTGTTTCAATAATCAATTCTACTGAGGGATTATCAACAGCGAAAGGTACTGACAATATTGCAAGTACAACGCGAGCAGCCATAACTGACATTTCGTCCGCTGGTAAGTTTTTCTTTAGCTCCCGCACAAGAAGGAATTGACGTAAAACAGCAGCCGCATGAAATAAATAATCATTTGCTTTCCAAAATACCAAAGATACTTTTTCATAATAAACTGCCATAATACGTGAATTTAACAGTTTTTTTGTTAAACTAAGGAAAAGGTGTATATCTTCAATCGCTTTGAACGCATCCAGCCAAAGTTCCATTTGTACAGCACACTCAAGTTGAAATATACCAGTTTCCAAATATAACATCTGAATTTCGGGATCATGAATTCTGAAATGCATTTCAACTTGTTTATGTATATGGGCTATATGAGTTCTTAAAAGATTGCACAATTTACGTAATTCAGCCTTACGGGAATACTTTACACAAAAAGCAAGAGCTCTCTGAGCAATTTTGTGAAAAAGCTTTTCCATCTGTGGATTCCGAAGAAGCTCCAAGCATATGCGATAACTTTCCCATAAAAATCTAACCCAAGGAAGAAGCACAATTCTTTCAGTTCTATCTTGAGCATCCTCAGAACTTACATACTTCAACAAATGTTCCGGAGTAACAGTTAAATCTAAAGCCTCGGAGTCAAACAGAGTAGCTTGAGAAATTTCTTTAGCATGCTCGGTTTTTACTTCAGCATTCTGAAGATATTCATACAATGAGTTTTCCCAAGATTTAATATTTACACCTTGACATACTGATCGATACAAGTACAATCCATCTTTAGCAGCTTGGCTTTTCTTCAGATCAACGCATATTTCCAAATAATTATGAATTATATTTTCATGAACATTTTTCAGCAGCCTGTTCTTACGATTTTTAAGAATATCATACAAACATGTTAATGCTTCATCGTGTTTTCCAAGTTCTCTAAACTCATTGGCTCGCTTGAGCGAATTTTCAGGATTATTAGAATAAGCTGACATTATTTCGATTATAATAGTTTAATAAATATCTTAATCAAGAATTTGAAAGAGAGATAAATGCTTCCTTAATAGTCCAGATTATTGCAACATCATGATATAGAATCACATATTACTTTAAGGTAACAGGCACATAACACAGTACTTTTAGGGAAAAAAATGTTCGTTTATTTTTAAGCACAATTTAGTGGGAAATGAAAACGAATTCTACCTCGAGTCAAGCAAAGATCAGTCCATAATAAAATTCAAAATGAATTCCAACAGCATTATGCTATCGCTTTCAATCAACACATTCACTTCCGGTTTCAGTTAGTTGTTTACGAATAGCGTCTCGTATTTCAACTTCGCTAAAATACTGCTGCCATTCGCATGAACTAAACATTCTACGAAAAGGAAAAATGCAGCTGCATTCCCCTACAGTTAAAAAAAAAAAATGTTTACTTTTAGAACGCGCAACTCACCAACGGTGATTTTAATACACGGAGTATAATGATGTATTAATATTAAAACACGGAGTAATATTAAAACACGGAGTTTATACTCCGTGTTTTAATATTAATACATACATTTGCATCAGGTTTAGTTTAGTTGTTTATAGCCTACTTATTTCTGGTATTTCGTATTTTAGCATTCTGTTATAAATAGATGCTGCCAGTAACATTTTGTGTGTTGCCTTTATTTATTAAATATCATGTTCTTCGCACCATAAAATTCAGTTCAAGAGAAATATCGCAAAATAATTTGAAAATAAGCATATCTTTAGAATTTCTGATAAACAGTCTAGTGCACTGGAGATAAAAGTGTGTTTTCTGTACAACGTTGCCATTGCTCGCTTTGAAATTCCTGAATTTGTTAATCAAAAATTCATTATTCAAATTTTGCAAAATATGAAATCGGTAATAAAACAAATTCCAATCCCAAATTAGAAATTCTCCCATATTCGCAGGAGGATAAGTATATTCAAAAAGTGGCTTTAAATACGTTGTTATCCAATGCGAGAACATATATATATATATATGTAGATTCTTCACTATTTAATTTCTTTAAATATAATACAGGGCGATAATATTTGGTGGCAACAATTTGAAAAGTGAAATGACGCAAAATGCCAAAACGAAATTAATAGTCCTTCTGGATAAATTGCCCCTTTGGAATAAAAACCTGAAAGGTTTCAGATTTTATATTACGCCTAAGGGGGCCTTTTTTTTATTTACACACACGTACACTTTTCGAGAGTATTTGGACTAAGCCCCTCTGGGATAAAAATATTTAGAAACAGTATAGTATTATTTAAAACAGTATAGTACTAAATAAATAGTATAGCAATATAATGAAAACAGTATATTTCCGATAGACAGTCTCGTGCACTGGAGATAAAAATGTTTTATGCTCTGCAGTGTTGCCACTGCTGGCTTTGAAATCGTTGAGGTTTTTAACAAAAATTTGTTAAAATCTAACAAAACATGAAACAGATAATAAAACAAATTCTAAATTTATAATTTGGGCTGCCCATATTCGGGCGGAGGACTACGTTACTTAAAACTTGATGGCTCCAGGTAGCACTGGTTTTTCACAATGCGAGCAACGCACATACCATACATGCAGATTCTTCATTATTAAATTTCTTTAAATATAATACAGAGCGATAACATTCTGTGGCAACAATTTGAAAAGTGAATCAACGCTTTTTTTGCCATTTGATGCAAAAGGCCGTTTCGAGACTACTATATCTCTTCTAGGCTAACATCCGTCTTAACTAAATATAAAATTTTACTTGTATAAAATGTGCACTGTAGCAAAGATAGACTTGAAAAAAGGTTTGTAAAATTTTGGACTATAATTTAATGCTTCTGATGCGGTTTTGTTATTAGATAAATAAAAATAATAGCTTCTGCAGGTAATTGAAAATTCTTTCTCTTAAATTTAAAATGTGTTAAATAAAGTTAATAACGTATATAATAGAAATTGTTTTGAGAGCTTCGGTGTTTATTCCTGCATTTCGTTTTGCAACATAACAGGATAAAAGTAAGAAAATCTGAAAGGAAATGTTTTATTTACATTTCCTTTCAGATTTTCTTCTGCATACTACAATCACGGAGTATAAAAGACTCCGTGAAATTCATTGTGAAACCACGGAGCATAAAGTATAATTTAGAGTCTGTGATTTTATCCTTAATTTCATCATTACTATTACTTTTTTTTTTTTTTTGACGACGGTTATGTATACCAGAATGAAAGTCAGAATTTTGTAATTGATGTATTATGTGATTTTAGATATGTATTTGATTTCCCTTCATTTACCACACTAGTAAAATAGAACTTGCTGCAAAATTTTACTAAAAATGCAAAATTTCGCCTATTTAATTCGCTCCATTATGCTGGAAAGCATCACACTTTTATGATATGGAGAAATAAATGAAAGGCCTGTGGACTCCTCAACCGGCAACAATTTCAAACTTTTGTTTATAGATCTATGTAATGAAGTAATTTTGAATAAGATGTACAAACAATTTTTAAGATAACGCAGATGCTAACAGTGAAAGCCGAAGTGAAAGATGGAATATAGCAATACTATAAAGAAACCGTGGAAACGATGCCCGTTGAACAAATTTGATTTCTTGACAAAATAGTTCTTGACACAATCAAATAGATTCAAGAAATGTCACCCTTGATGAATAGTTAGTTGCATTGGTACATTTTTATATTTTTTTGTAATATAAACGAATAGCAGCGGATGGAAAACTTGCAATCCAGAGAAGAGAGGAAGCTATGCTAAGTTTCCAGTATGAAGAATATATTAAGACAGATTCAGTTTATCCCTATTGGCTAATTTAGACTTCATTGCGGAGATTTCAACAATATTATTGACTGACGTTAGTGTCTGCTTCATTAACTTTTTTTAAATGTGTTAAGGATTTCTAAATTGAATATGAAGTAATTAAAGTATCCTGCTTATACGCTGTTGCTGTGAAAGTTGTATTTGCTGGATTTGCAATTTGGAGGTTCTGAGTCCAGGCAAAGACACTTTTCCTACACCTAGCAATTCATAAGCATTTTCCTTTCTACAGTTGAAATATTTAACCATAATGTAAGACAATAAAGGAATGATATACAGCAGATAAGCCTACCGATTAGGATTTAATATTTAGTTAACATATAAGAATTAAGATATGGCAGTTATTTTAAAATTAATATAAATTACAGTAATTTCAAAAGTAACTCAAACATTGAGAAAATGTTGGATGAAAAAAGACAGACAGAACTCAGAATTTTAATTATGAAACTGAAGATATTACAGAGGCGGTTCACACATTTTTTAGACAATGTATATTGTATTCACAAAACTAACTTACATATAATTCTTGTGTTTTAAATGTTCTATTTGACATCCCTTATTCTGAACTATCTTCCGAGACCACAATTTTCCGGATAATAAGCTTTTGAAGTGGTCAGAATAGGTATTTATCCCATTCCTCCCGAACATCTTTCCAGAGTCCTGTTGGGGTTTGGGAAACGTTTGGATATGCAGTTTTTTTAAAAGTCGAAAGCACAAAATCCATAGATACACATCGGGAGATTAGTCGGATATCAGTGAGGATTATGGCCTTGACAACAGTTTTTTGTTCCATTTCCTTAGGAAATTTACAGTGGATTTTGATGTGTGACTGCTAGCTTTGTCTGTGGGTCTCACGATGGATGGAACGTGGGTTAAAGCGATGGTATTTCATCAGGAAAAAATTGGCGATAAAATATGTTCTGATAGTATTTTGGAGTACTTGACATTTTTTGTACTCTCTTTATTTTAACTTGCCCATTATAAGAAAAACCAGCAAACAATCATGAATCCCTTAGAAACTTTCTTTCGTTCTTTGAACTATGTACTTAAATTTTTTTTTACTTTTATGATATAAATGGCTCTTTTTTGTTACAGTCATTTAATACACCCATGCGTCATCTATTGTGACAATTTTTTCCATTTTTCTTTGGATAAGTGTTTCTCTATAGAATTTGCAGGGTCCTGCCGTTGCGCGATATGCTTTGAAGAAGACGATGCATTACATTTTTTCGCGGGGTTAAATCAAAGTTTATCATTTTGTTTACAGTGGACGCGAGCATTTAATGATTTTTGCAACTGTCCTTTGACTAGGGGGATTTTCTTTTAACATTAACAAAAGTACCTTTGCATAGTCGAAGACGTTTTTCCCTTGGATATTGTTTGGATTTTTCCACTTGAGGCTCCAATTTGACGTTTTTTTTCATTTTGTTGATTAATTACCTATCGACGCTTCAGATATCACAAACCATGACTCTCGCATCGTTTTTGGGTAACGGAGATGCATTTCTCTTCGGAAAGAGCGTAAATGTAGCCTCGAACCACTGCTTTGTTTAATTCGCCATTGTGGAAAAAAAAAAAAAAAAAAAAAAAAAAAAAACAAAAAATAATTTTCAAGCCACGCGATAATTTGACTTTTAAAAACATAGTACAATTGCAATTACTTCTTTTGCATCAAACGATATTTTATTACCGCTTACCATAATCGTCTAAAAAATGTGCGAACAGCCTCTTATAGTGAGCACCAATAATGTTTTAATATTCTTTTAGAGAAAGCAATCTTTTATTTTGTAAAACATGTTACTCATACTTAAAATGTTCATTGGAATGTTATAAATAAAATGCACACTCGTACATTTTTCTTTAGAAACACAGCCCAGTATATGATAGCTTATACAGAAACACATACGCAATGATAGTTTGAATTCAGACAAGTTATAATTAAACTAGACAGTGAGCACTTAAAATGTGCGATGATTATGAGATTTCTGCAACTGTCGTAAAAGGTTATAAAAAAGTATATTACTAAACTAGCTGTTATATCTGCATTTTGTTTATTTACTACTAGAGGTACCCGATGCCAGTTAAGTGAGATTGAGAGTAATGTATCTAACAATAAGAGAGAACTATACTGCTGTAATTCTTCTCTAATAACGATGCATAAAATACGATTCATTAGTCATACATTTTTCAGTTTGATGCGATATGGAGCCCGTATAGAAAATTTCGATAAAAAAATAAACTAATTCTCTCTCATTATATCAGCAACAATGGCATGCAGTTTTGAATGATTTTCGTCTTTCTCATGAAATGATCGAAAGCTGTCAGTTCACCCTTTTCATCTATATTCAATTTTAGTCGATTAAATGTGGCAAGAAATTGATCATAATTGATCAGAAATCATTAACGCGAACAAACAAGCACACATGCTGATATTCTTCTTTATATGTATAGATTTTGTAAAACTTGCATATTTTTTATTAACAAACTTTATGATTTGAAAGCGAGCAGTGGCAACACTTCTCGAAATGAAGCAGATTTTTACCTTTAGCGTGCAAGACTGTTGCCACTCGGAAAAATGAGTACGAAAATTAGCGCTTTCAGAGATTTTAATTAATATTTAGGCTGATTAAAGTCGTACGAAGATGGAAGCAGTCGAAATGGCTTCCCACGAATTTTTGGAATCGGGAACAATGTATTTAATGTTTGGCAATGCTATTTTTACTTCATCCTAAAACTTAAATTTTTAATTAACAAACTCTAGGATTTGAAAGCGAGCAGTGGCAACAACTTTCGAAATAAAACAGATTTTCATCTCCAGCTTGCGAGACTGTTGCCTCTCGGAAAAATGAGGGCGAAAATTATCGTTTTTCCGAGTTTTTAATTAATAAATCTGATTTCAGCTACTGTTTCTTGGGAAAAAAGTGAATGTCTACCTTTTCCAGGACTCGGAAAAGAATTTGTGAAAGTTTGGTGACGATAACTAATAGAAGTGACTGAGTTATTAGCGAGCAAACACACAGACCTTCCACTTTATGCATGTAGATAGATTTACATATTTTGAGATTGTTGCTCGTGCAATGAAGTCGTAAGTATGCAATCCAAATCATGTGATATCAAAGCTAATAATTTAATTTTGAAATTCTTGGAATCTTAGCAATCAAAATTTTAACCCAATAAAAATGATTTCAATTGGTCCTAAGTACATAAAGCTAAGAACAGCTTTGCAACTTGCATGTAACCGATTAAAGGTACTTCAGACTAAAAGGTCAGAACTGACACAAAAAATGAGAAGAGACGTAGCAAATTTACTGAAGAAAAGAAAATATATGCTTGCTAAAATTAAAACCCAAAGAATTATTAGAGATGAAAAAACAGTTGAAGCAATGGAGCTGACTGAAATGTTCTGTGATCACATTTTATCAAAATATGAATTATTTAAAGAAATAAGTGATATTGATGACAGTCTTGCAGAGGCAATCTCAAGCTTAATATGGGTCGCACCTTACCTCCAAACAGAAATAACGGAATTAAAAGATATTGCCAAGCAAATGACGATTAAATACGGAAGGAATTTTTCCCGGGCAACTTTGAAAAATGAATTTGGCACTGTTAATTCGGAACTAATAAAAAGAATTAGGCAAGTTTTTCCGTCGGATGATGATATACAAAAGTGCCTCACAGAAATTTCTTGCGAATATGATGTGCCTTTCGATAACGAATTTTTCCAGGAAGCTGTTCCCGATTTATCATCGGATGTTAAGCAAGTCGAAGATAAGGCAGAATCTAGTGATACAAAAAGTGAATTTACAGGACATGACACCAATGCAGTGAACATTCCACTTTCATGTAAAAAAGTGTTTAACTCATTCAAATTTAAGCCTAAAGTTATTAAATCAAGTTGTAAAGATCTCAGTGAAAAGATTAATTTCAATGATCTTCCTTCAAATCCTAAGGATCTTGCAATGGGTGAAAGAAAAATCAATGCAAGAGAATCGATATATAATCCAAACGTTCAAACATTTGATATGAAGCAATCAGAATATTGTAGATGCCCTGAAATAGGCATATTAGATCTCGACTATGATGAACCGCCACCATCATATAGTACCATAATTGAAGAAGATCAAGGCGTATATAACATTAGTAGTCCTAAGTAAAGTTTGGGATTTCCATCTATATTTTATATGTCACATCCTAGCTGTCCAAGTCCGGAGAATCAGTCCAATAACGACATGGGAGTGTTTCAAATCTTTCATATAGCAGAAGGAAATGACACAAATGGAAATTTTAATTTAAATGTTATCCCAGGTACTGTACCAGAAGGAGATACTGTAAACGTTCATACAACTGTTCTTCCGAGTAAATCCCATCACACGGGATAAATAACTTAACCTAAACAATAAATCAATCTAAATAACAGCCTCAATAATACTTACTGATTGAGATTTTTAAGCTGCTCCCCGGTACTTTCTCATTAGCCATTCCAGCTCGAAAAGCTTTACTAATTAATATACTGCACAAAGATGTCATATGTAATTGGGAAATAAAAAAAAAGGTTGCCGGATAATGCTTTGAAAATTTTCAGTGTGACTAACAACTGTACGACTTCGCTGTTTGGTTCTGTTGGATATCGAAACACAGTATTTTTCATGCACTGTCAACTTAATATACGTAATTAATGATTTAAATAATTATTTCCTAATGAGGAAATACACGGTCGAATTTAGTAGATAAAAGAATGTAGTATGATCACTCTCAACGCCAGATGTCAGTGCTAAATAACCAATGGCATAAGGAATGTGTAGGCAGCACTTATTCAGTGATGGGATATAAAGCATGTTATAGGCTTTCAGAAAACATTTCATTGCTATTGTCAAGAGTAAACGACCAACCTTGAATTATGAAAATCTGGAATATTCTGCAGCGAAAACGGTTTCGGGAGGATATGAGTATCACGCTGTGCAGCAATGCATTTTAATCGTCTTAATTCAATTTGTAATTCATGATTTACGTCACTGAACTATTTATATGATCCTGACTTAAAATGTGCTAATATCTAAGAAGATATTCTAAATTTTTATACTCTTCGGCTAATTTCAGTCTGTAAATATTTATGTAAATATTTATAGTGAGAAAATACTGAGTAGAGAAGAAGAACTTTTAAATACGTAGGTAAAATTTTAAATATGACTAAAATAAAAGGATATTTAATGTCCAAACTATCGCATGGATAAACTTAATAATGAGCAATTTCTTGATGTAAAACAGGGTTTCCTAAACTGTGGGCTGCGACCCCCATGGGGATCGCGGGACTTGCAGCAGGGGGTCGCCAAAATTTTTAGCAGTTTGGATATTTCTTTAACTTATTATAATAATTTTACAATTACCAAATATTTTTACACAATGTATCTGAAAATAGATATAAATAAGACAATAAAGACAAAGAAAAAAAAATTAAAACGTTTCGACCCATTCTTTTTATAATATAAACGTTCATTTCTTTGCTTTGCATGTGACGCTGTCATTTCGTCTGTTACTTATTAACAATTTTCACATTGTTCTATGTCTTAAAACTAGAAATTAAAGTTAATGACCTGAAACTTCAATAGAATATTACAGTACAAGTGAAAAAAACTGACAGTTTCACTCACGCGTGTATCGGATTTGCGCAACACTTATGGGGTCCCATAAAATGTTTGGAAATATTATAGGGTCCTGGGGGTCGCGAAAAAATCTCTGTGATAAAAAAGGGGTTGCGACTGAAAAACGTTTAAGAAACCCTGATATAAAACACAGTTAAATACGAATTTTAACTGATTAAACATGGCTTTAATCTCCATAAAAAGTTCTAATCAAATTTAGTACAACAAATTAAGCTGAAAATCAGTAGGGCCCAGAAGAATGGAATTTCCACTGTTTTATGTTTCGTTAATTCAATAAATGTCCTTTATTGCTAGGAAATATTTTTATTAGCAAAGGCTAAAAATTCAGATCCGAGGGATTCGGTAATTCACTGGACGATTCTGAGAGATGGTGAAAAAACAGGAGAGTTGGCAACTATAAGAAAGGTATAATTATTGGCTTTGGGGCCAAAGGTGGCGGCATTTTAGAAACTGAGTAATTTTTGAACTGTTCGCATGTTTCTGTAGTGAAAGCAGGCCAAGAATCGCAAAACTGCACTGTAGAAAATGTGGAAACTGCAGAGCACAAAGATCCATGTATGAAACAGGTGAAGAGTGACTGCGGCGGGTCTATGTGCTGCAGTGGAGTTATTTACAGTTGAAATGAATTGGAAAACATAGGTACTCCAATTGCGCCCAAAATGATAATTCAGCAATCCCTTGCTAACTATACGGTTCCACAGCAGAGAAGTGGCTGCAACACGTATGCTAACGATTGCTCATCGACGGAAGAGGCTGAAACTAGCATGACCATACCCAAACTAGACATCAACTGATTGTCAAAAGGTTGACTTCATCCCGTTTTTTGCTTATCGAACAAAAGAGAGGATGACGGGGACACCAGTACTTTGCAGTGATCTTTGATAGTTATGCAGGTGACGGTCCCATGCTTACCGCAGTGCTAGAATCCATCCCCTTCATACTGTGGTTTGATAGGGAATGCAAGGGAGTCACAGCAGGTCTGATGTAAAAAAAAAAAAGTATAGTGCTACTGTGCAACTGCGTTAGAGGACATTAAGTAACATCACAAGATCCAGGCCGTGTGCTGCTAAGATGTCCAGCTAGGATTGCTTTGATCTTTATGATGCGTGCCTTTTGTTTGATGGTATAGTGCTGGAAAGAATTTTGTCATCTATATTAACGGGAAATCTGAAATGATGGCTAAATGTCAGAAGACGGCTCGTCAGGTAATGTTCAGGAGTTCCCGTATTATAAATTGATTCGTATCAGTTAGGCAACGTTTATGAAAATACACTGGAAATGGGCCATAGCCTGTAATATAACATGTTAGCTGAGCAATAGAAATACATCTTATGTTGCTGGTTTTCGGAAGGAATGGTCTCGTAATGAAACTTTGCGTCGGTTCATTATAAACGGTGCATCACCTTTAAAATTCTTACCACCAAATGCTATCCGCCTTTTATTATTTTTAAAGAAATTAAATATTGCATGTATGCATGCATGTTTGTTCCTCTGATTGTGAAAAAACGACGGCATCTAGAGCCATCAAATTTTGTATAACGTTAGTCTTCCACCCGAATTTGTGCACCTGGAAGCCCGAATTAGGAATCTGTATTAGCATTCATTTCATATTTCGAATGAAATGAAAAATGAGTGACAAAAAATAAAAAAATGTTGTGCCAACACTTAATAGTGCATTGAAAATTCTAAACATATGTTGCTATGCAGTTTTAAAAATTTTGTGATTTTGTTGTTGAACTTTACGCGGCGTAAGTTCGAAGAAAATGATGCTTCTTGAAAAAAAAAAAAAAAAAAAAAAAAAAAAAAAAAAAAAAAAAAAAAAAAAAAAAAAAAATGTTATCAGGACTGAGTACAAGAGCACGCTAGCAGACTGCGAGAGCGTAACGTTCCTTAACAAACTCTTTTAGGTGACTCTTAAAATGTGAAAGTCTTCAGAATTTTTACTTTTTACACCACCGGATAGAGAGGAATAAAATCTTTTTAAAGGAAATTTTAGAGGATTAAATAGGATGGACAGATTAGAGAGAGATAAAGTAATTTTCCTCTCCTCGAATTTTTGAAACTTGCTCGATTCTTTTACGTCCATTGTTTGAAATATTCACCATCCATAAATGTTACCAGTTATAAAGTTTTGAAGTTTTCATAGATTATAAAACAAACCCCTCGCCCTCTTTTAAAACAAGAATGATAAAAGATATTAATGGAGCGATTTTCTACATTAAAAAAATATATGCCACACTATGATCTGTAGGATTGATTTAATAAGTGGAAGGGGAAGTTTTGGTATTTCCTACCATGTCACGTGAATTGCTTCAAGTTACGATATCAATATCCTAACTTGAAGGTGTGATACACACACACAGACACACAAAAGAGACTGGTCCAATAAATCAGAATTACAGAATCATTTCTCCGTGACATTATCACCTTCAAAGCAGTTCCCTTCAGCATTCACACGTTTCTGCAATCGGTGCTGCCATTGCTGGTAACAGTTCTGTAACGAATTTTTTGGAAGGCCCTTTAGGAGATTCTCCGTTTTTGCCTGAATCTTTTCAACTGAGGTAAAATGGGTTCCCTTTCAGCAAGATTTAACTTTAGGAAATAAAAAAACGTCGCATGGAGCCAGATCAGGTGAATAAGGAGGATGCCCAATCACGTTAAATTTTTTGCTGGTCATAAACTGCTTGACAAGAAAGGGCCGTGTGAGCGAGTGCATTTTTACTGGTGCAACAGCCATCCATCACTCCATAACTGTGGCCTTCTCTTTTCCTAATTCTTTCACGAAGTCTTTTTAGTATTTCTACGTAGTAGTAGTGTTGATTAACAGTCTGACCATTGGGACCCATTCAATGATGAATGTGCTGGGCACCCCCGCGCAGCACTTTCATCATCTTCCACTCTGTTCCTTTTCCCTAACAACTGCTTATGTCATTCAAACACACGCGCATAAGACAAAGTTTCATCTTCATTAGCCTCAGTTAACACTTGAAATGTTTCCTCCGTGGCTGATTTCTTAAGTTTGACAAGAAACTTGACGTTGATTTTCTGTTCGGGTTTACATTAGACATTTTTCCGGCAGAATGCAGTTGCACGTGTTCACTCAAAGACTCAGTACTCCTCACTCGCGTGGTCGGTTAAGTCGAAACTGGCTGCATGGATAGAGGAGTGTCACTTGGCGTTACCAAAACAGTTCTTGCCAACTCCACTCTTTTTTCAAGCTACACAATTAGCCTCTTTTTTTTGTGTGTGTGTGTGTCACATCTCGTATATGTCGCAGTCTGTTTCTTGTTTCCCAATAGATTTCTCTAATATTGTTTTTAGTTAAGACACAATAACACGCCGAACAAATACTAATTCAAACAACAAAAATCAGCGCTATATTTTCAAATTTTCACAACGCTGATTTTTGTTGTTTTGACTTTTGATTAGTATTGTTTTTAGTTATTAATTTATTAATCTCCCTTCTGATACTAGAAAGAATTACTTGCAAAGAAATTCAACTTTTACAGAAATCGTCCACCATTTTATCAATGTTATTTTTCTCCTCTCCCTCTCTTATGAAATAGATTTTGAATTTATTATTCATCTCATTATATTAATCTGAAAAAAAAAAAAAAAAAAAAAAAAAAAAAAAAAAAAAAAAAACACAGTTTAAGGATTAACTAATATTTTAAATCAATTACAATGAAGTCTGCCATGCCATTTTTTAATTCGTTTACATTTTTATTTTTCACAGCATTCCATTTTAGAAACTGATTTTCTTCATTTTCTTAGGATGTAGAGTCATTAGGTTAATTGGAAGCAGAAATGATGAAAAATATGCAACCGCATTTCCCGGGAATCGAACCACGGACCTCTGGAATACCGGCCCAGCGTGCTACCGTTACACTACGAAAGCACGCTAGGGAAGTGGGAGAAATACCTATATACTCCCCTTTTAAAGGGCGACTAGGGTTTTTAGGGGACCTAGTCACCAAATCCTGGGTGCGGAGAATCATCATCCACACCCTTTTAGTTCGGGCGCCACTTGTAGTGTCATTAGGTTAATTGGAAGCAAAAAGATGAAAAATATGCAAACGCCTTCGCCGGGAATCGAACCACGGACCTCTGGAATACCGGCCCAGCGTGCTACCGTTACAGCACGAAGGCACGCTAGGGAAGTGGGAGAAATACCTTATAAAGAAATGTAATATCACCTTCTTTTATGGGACTTCTAATATCTAAAAATATATCTCTTATTCTAACATCTAAAAATATACCTCTAAAACAATGCAAACATCTAAAAATATATCTCTTATGAAGATTTGAAATTTTCATAGAATAATTTGATAAGAACGGAAAGTACAGACTCTATTAGCAGGCAAAGTACCTATGCAAATGACTAAATATTTTAAGATTACGTTCAATGGCTCTTACATAATGATAACATAATCGCAGACAATAACCTCCCCTCCCTCATTGTCAGATACGTAATACTGTACTTTAGGCCAGTGTTACTCAAAAAGTTTTGTTCCTTCTCAACCCTTGGAATAGCATTCATGTATCAAATAAATCTCCGATGTAATAACACAAAGATGCATTTATGCATGTCTA